GTCAGAACAAACATTGTCATAAAACGAAGTGATCGACTACGTGGAACAAGGAACAGTAAGCTTAACTCATTACTTTTAATTTCTAATAAAAGGAAAGTTATTACTCGAAACCCTTAATGAACAATTTGTCTTCTAAGAGAGGAAGTTGCATGGATATCTCCCTCATCAAGTTATATCGAAAATGTCGTAATGAATAAAGATGGAAGGAATTAGTTCAGAGTAGGAGCAATCTCTAGCACCTTTACCATTTCAAATTACTCGGATGAATCTGCTTCTTATTTACTGATGGATGCATCCATTCCAAGTGAATAATTTGTGTTAATTAGGACGTAAGATTTATGTGCATTTTCCAGTTTCTTTGGAAGTATTTCTCTAATGCAGTTAGTCAGAAGGACTATTTTTGTGCAATAACTAGGCCATGTATTTCATTTATATTAACTGCTTTTAATTTTTTAAAGCAGCATTTTGATAGTGAGAGAGTGCTGTTGGCATTTCATTATGTCAAGTGATGCTTTTAAAGTACTCAAAATTTTTGTAAACATTTCTTACAGCCCGGAAAAGTTATTTCTCAACCATCCTCCTCCATCATTGAACTTCTTGGCCTGAACCGTGAAACAGAAATTAAAGAATCCCACAAGTCACACATTGAGTACATGCATACTGAGGGCTTGCCCTCATCTTAGGTATTTTCGTCTCTGTATATTTCCGTTGTCATGTGTCAGAGTTTTGAATTGCACTGCCAGCACAGCTTTGTCGACCTCCAATTGTTAGTCTCTCTCTACTAACCTTTGATCACAATTTCGAGTGTCCAGGTGCCTAGTTGTTTGTGTATGCAACTGAGTCATCTCTCGCTTTAGTGTCGGTTCCCAGTTCCATGATTGTAATTATTATTCATTAAGGCCTGCACAAATCAACTAAAAGGTGCTGTAAAGAGGTACGTATTGTTAGTTAGTTAGTTAGCTAGCAAGTTCCTTAGTTAAGATCGTTCTTATATGAGCACAACGCCACACCTAACGAAGCAATCTCTTGCAGACTCGAACTGTTCAGAAAGTGTGAACATGCTTCTTGTCTCATAGGGAACAAGTGTGATCGTGGGTGTGGAAACATCTCAGTCAAGTAACAATCACTAATCACTGCCACGTAGTGATCAAGCGTAACGCAGTGACCCACAACTGAGAAGAACGGTATTCTCATCACCCGCTCTGTTTCCACGATATTGACGAGCTAACTTTGCCAATTTCAGGAGCAAATTCATGCTGGAATATTTTGTCAGATAGGTGAGATGAGGTTTTGTGAAAGAGCATTTGTGAACCAACCGATACACTGTTATTTTACTCTTTCGTTCTTCAAAGCGACTCCTCATTGATCCTCAAATAATAGCACAAGTTTTTCAACGAAACATAATTGGGCTTTTTGAGATAAGGTTGCCATCAATTTGGAGAAGATTCAAGGATATTTTTACCAAAGTAAGAGTTAGTTTGGCAATAATCGATGCACACATGATGTATCTAGGCAAAATGTTGAGATTTATTTATATCAAAATGTATGCATGATGATAGTTCTCATTAGTCCTTTAGTTGGCTTCGGAATTCACAGATGAGAGGAACATCGAATTCGTAAAAAGTGGAGATTGACAAAGGAAGAATGAGAAGCAGATTTATGAGAGACAGACACAAAGGTAGAGATAAGGTAAGGTGAGTATTGTGTTATGGGGTCGAATATGACATACAGTCGGGTAGAGTTAGTTTGAAGTCGGACATTTATTCCAATGGCGTCCAGTCCTGGAGTGCTCATAAAATAGAGGAGGAACAGATAAGACGTGTTATTTCTGTTCCACTATCTGTCTAACAGTTTTTGGTAATATTTTTAATGAACATTTATCCCGTGAATACTTGTGATCACAGTGTATGTTCAATCTTGTGATTGGGCAGTCTCTTTCCTTCTCATTTAACCAGACAAAAATGATCGATTTCTCCAACATCTGGAAAAGAGTTTCATCCATAGTCTCCCTTTTTGGAAAGGGTGACATATTTATCTCTTGAGATGGCCATTATGCTCATAGTCTGAGCACCACTTGGAGGTAGACTCATGATCTCATAATTCTGAGAATGCCACTGGGAACACTGTTTTCATTGGTCACATTCTCACTACCTTGACGAAGTAAGTAAGAGAATGATATTTGACCAAACCCCTGATAATTTTCGTTTTATTTTCATTAGATATCGTTTTTGGAGGAAACCATAATATGAATACAACTGTGTCATTCTACACTCTGTTTGAAATCCTAAAATCATGCCATGCAACTTCAGGTCATAGGATTGAAGTTTATTTGCACTTATGGTTGTAGGAGAATCGTCCCATGTCATTGACAAGTTAGCTTTAAGTAGTACGGTACCTAAAGCAAAGCCTAGTTGGGTAAGTGGAAGGGGGTCATTTATTGTTTCCATTTCAAACAGCTTGACCCAGCAGAAATAACTGACTGTTAAAGGCCAACATTAGAAACGTCAAAATTTTCAACATTGGTGTTTAAGAACTCATGTACTGAAATTAAGCAATTTAGACTTGTTTTGGATTGTGAAAGTCGCAAATCACCACAATCGCATTTCTGCGTAGACTAAATAGTGGAGTAACCAAAATTGGCAGCTGCTTCGATTCTGGTATGAGAACATTCCATATTATTTCTATCGTGTTGCAAACTGCTATTTCTGTCAAGTGTCTTCTGTCAGATATCTGTAAATGGATTTTTCAATTAATATGAAGGTTGGAATGATTAACTTCGGAAAGCCGTAGAGACTATTGCGCTACACGTAAAATTGTTAGAATATTTGTACTATCTGAAACCGACCATGCAAACTCTCTCTCACAGGAAATACTATTCCTCTCTTATCAGGTTCCTCTCTCAAGCCTTTCCACAACTACCATTCGAGATGATTTTATGGCTCTACCACATCTGTCATTCCACCTAACTACAGCAGACACGCGAAAGCGATCAACTGGTGATGATTCCGAATCGTCGATTGTGGATACGAAAAGAAAGTGAATAACGCAGGTTCTGTAGTTTTATAATTTGATCTCGCCTAAAAGTAGGCCTTAAAATACACACCCTAAGCCATCTACACAGAATAAAGTGATGAGAATACCATTTTGCAGGAAAGATAAATATTTCTTATTAAATTAAAGTGGCAATTAGATGTACTTCCCACCGACTCTTTAATTGAAACAGAAGATGCTAAAATGTTGATGACTCAATTAGCATATTTAATTGGTAAGAAGGTTTTGCTAGAAAGGATTAAGAAAATTCACCATTATTGATGAGAATGATTCAGGAGCAATTCGTGTAAGTCAAGGCAATATTAGTAGATTTGTTTGGATAATCTTGCAGTCTAATCTAGTCCAAACGTGAGCTCTTTGGCTTTCACTAACAAGCTCAAATCACTTGCTCTTTTCCGCACTTGTTGAGGCCATCGGCGAATTAATTTGTTGTGATTAGGCTTCGCAGTGTATTCGATGAATGAAGTGATCTTGTGCGCATAAATACACGTTGTACTTATTTTCTTTAAGTAGCATAGAGTTTATTATGCAAAACATTCCCAAGTTCATTCGTCCGCAAACACAAAACAGAATTAGACTTGTAGTCTAGTCACTCACTATAACAAAACCGACTCTTCTAGTTTGGAAAGTATAAATATGGAATGCACATATAAGGGGAAATGATCAAAAATGACATGTAGAATGAATCATAGGCACGCTCGCAATAAAGGAGAGGTGGATTTACATTCGAATGTGTTTCGGGGAGAGGCAAACGTTGGGATCAGCCAACAGTGAGTGCGAGGTAAGACATAAGGATTGAAACTGGAGTATCATTTGGAGATAAAAGCAGGACTTGGAGAAGACGTCAGACAGAAGATGGATAACTTGCACAGATGTCGGAGAAGTGCAACAAAGGAAAGCAACTGTGGAGATGCATTGTCGCCGAAGGCTACAGTCTGTGAAGTACAAGTCGACTTGATGCTTGGCACTGTTCATTAAAGAGAAAATAGTCATTGTCAGTTCGTTGAAAACAAAGGGCAAATTAAAAGAAA